TGCATGCTGTGACTGACAGAGAGGAACCTTTAAGGCTGTATTAAGAGGAAAGGTGAAGCAAAACATAGCTCTGTGCTAGAGGAAGATGATAGAAGGTTTATTCTAGAAATGATCTGTCATTAAATTTTTTTAATGACAAGGGGCCATCTGAAATGAGACATAACTATGGTGAGGGACTGTCTTGGGTGTTTCCCACATCTCCTCTTCTGGATCTCCCCAAACTTTTTGGGCTAGTTTTGATGATTTCAAGTGATTGTGTAAACTGACTATCATTATATTTAAGTATCATATATAAATTTAACAGAGGCACTTGGGGTTTCCAAAGGAAAGAAAAACACATGTTTCCAAGAGAGGAAGTTATAGAGTAAACAGAAATACCATCCAACTGGGAAGTAAACTAATGACAGAATGGGGAGCAGAACAGGCAGATCTGCTGAAATACACTTTGGAGGGGAACAGCGGGAAGGTCAGGAGAGGTCTGCTGTGCCATGTGGGTCACCTCCCTGGCTGGGGATTGAACTCAGGCCTTAGCCTCAGCAGTAGCATTGAGACTAACCCCTAAACCACCAGGGAGGGGAGCCCTCAGTTTCTTCAACTTTGAAACTAATATCTCCTACAAATCATCATGAGATTTATGTGCCTAACATACAAAGGACACCCAAAAAAAAAAATACTCATTTCTTTGCTCCCTGGATTCTTGGGCAGAATAGCGCTGACTGAAGTCATTCGGCTCATAAGATATCCTTACTGTGCTAGTTGTTTATTTCTTCAGCTATTAGCTCTTTTCCAGTAGGAAAAGAAGATTATTTTCTTATAGGATAGATGTAGATAATCTGGGCTAAGTGTAAATAAAGTGTGTTTAAACAGATGAAAGGTAATGTTCATATTTAAATTACTGACAAAACCCAATTTATAATATCAATTTTGGAAATATGGCTATTTCACATTGGAATGTCTAAGAAGACATTTTCTTGGTATTTCCAAAATAACTCTTGTCAGGAATTTAAATGAACTGCTAATGATCTTGCTATCTGTGATAAAATTTAAGAAGATTGTTTGGCCACTACGGGGGTCTGGATGCATTCCTCAGCAGCTGCTGAGCCCAGTATTGACCCACAGTGCCATCAAGGATCTGGGAGGTACTGGGAGGTGCCAGGCTTCCCCTCTAGGGGAGTCTGCTGCCACATGGTTACTCCTGGAACTGGTCTTTTTTGGCTGTGCCACTTGGGGAGCACTTTGATGTTCTGTAATTTGGTCTACAGGAGACTTTTTTCAACAGGGAAGTGGTATATCAATAATTTGCATTTGCCTTGAAAATATTCTCAAAAATAAAATCCACTCTCTAAAGCTTTTTGATTTTCATTCTCAGTCTCCTGAAGCGAGTTCTAAATGATCACTATTGCCATGCTCATCAACATACTTAAAAGCCCCAATTTTTCAGTTCCTGTCTGTTGTCGAAAGAGTATCTACTTTGAAATTTCTTCAACACATTTGCTGAAATATCTAAATCAGTCATCAGTTTTACACAAAAATCAGAGTTTTGTTTAAAACCTTGTTAAGTGAAATTCTGTAATAGAGAAAAATCAAAGAACCAAGTCCCCACAGCCCATTTCCTTCTGGGCACCACAATTTACTCTTCCCTTAATTTTTTTTGTATGTGCACCTGTGTGAAGGCCACCATTTAAGGGGTACAGCTCATCCACTAGTGTAAGCAGTATGCCATAACTAACTTGTGATTCCTACATGAAATTTCTCTACTTAGTTATCACGATTTACTCAAATTGGACTTGACTCCCATTTAGACGGGAGTCTAAATCTTAATATTTAAAATATTGCACTCCAAATTTCATCAGTCAGCATTCTAAAATACCTATGGTAAAAGAAACAGGTTTCTTTAAGAAGCTATACATACTATCAAGGAAGGAGAGCACACCCAGATGGCAAAATGAAAGAAAAACAGTAATAAATTGGTTGATGCTAAGAAATAATTTGCACAAATAAACACTGATCAAGAGGAACGAACTAGAAAAATGAACAGTTTCAGGGAGGGTGCTCAAAAAGACTTCTGAGAGGCCATGAGAATTTATTTTGGTTTTGACAAAGGCTAGTTTGAAGTTGTAGAGTGTTAGAGGGCAGGGAGAGGGGCACCTCTGAACCCCCAAACCCACCTGCTCTAAATAAGTTCTGCCATCCACCACATCAAGACAAACATAAGACCTTTAATGGAAAGGAATTTAATACAATGAGTGTGCAATACAGAAAAGACAAAGAATATAGTTTCTTAATCAAACACCCAAATTTACGCATCCCCTTGTGAGTAAAAGACCACCAAGAAGGGATTGGCCCAAAGTAAGGCCTGGAAGCCTGCCACAAGTCTAAAGCACCTTCTGGTAGGGACCCAAAGAAAAGGGTGAGAAATGGCCAGACAAGTCTGGGAGGAAAAGGGCAAAATCAAAATCAGGATAAACGCTGCCATAGTCAACCTCCCCACAGGTCTCTCATGCACATCTGTTTCAACCAGTCCAGGACCAAGAAACAAGAGCAGCTTCTTCTCATGTCTCTCTGCTCCATGTGGCTCCCTCAGGTCACCTTTTCACTCCATCCTGCTTCCTTCCTCTTCAGACTCCTCTCCAGATTCCTCTATTCTCTGCTCAGCTCCACACTCCTGGGTGGGGCAGGGAACCTGGAACCTTGCCTTTTCCAGGGCCCACCCTGTTACAAGAGGATATATTCAACAAAAGGGGTTACTGACTTTTCTGAAGGGAGAAGGAAACAGATTTGATTTTAGATAGTTGTAGAATCATAAAAACAGTGGGCCAATTTTTTTCTTATGCTGCAAGATTAAAGATGAACAAAAAACGTATTAGCAAACATGTTTTATATTTATACTTCACTTCTTCCTTCTAATATATTGAAAACGTCAGCTACATTTTCTTTATACAGAGTAGCTCTTTTTTTTTTTTAATATTTATTTTTTAAGCATACAGAACTGGGATACAGGCACAGTAAGAGGATTCACCAGAGACAGAATGGGGAGCAGAACAGGCAGATGGATGAAGCACACTGCTGAGGGGAGCAGTAGGCAGGTCAGGAGCGGTCTGCCGCCCATGTGGGTCATCTCGGGAGCGTGATGGAACTCACACTCAAGTGGTTGCAGCTAGCTTGGAGTGCTGCACTCTAACTGCAGTGCTGCACCACCAGGGAGGGCCCTCTAACTGACTTTTTAAAGTTCTTTTGTCCTCCAAATTTTAGAGTCATCTTTCATTGAATTAATTTATATAACTTTGGGGTTTGTTTTCTTATGTAACACTGAATAATTGCAGAACAGGCAAAGTTTGTGTAGTAACTTAATGGTTCCCTATTGCCATGCTTTTGTTGTTGTTTTTGTTTTTCATTAATCTTTCCTTCTGGAAGAATGTACTATGGTCACAAACTACAGTTTCTGGTCACTTTAGACAATAAACTTGAGCTAGTACTGCCCTTTCTGTGAGTGCTGTCAAGTCATTTCTGAGAAATGGAAACCTTTACTGTGTTTTTTAAGGTGGGAGCATCTTTTTTCTGCTTCCTATTGACTTGAGAAATGGCTGAATTAAAGCAGGGAAATATTTCCATGATGCAAAGCAAAGGTGACTTCCTGTTTTGTTTTAGGGTTTGTTTCCTTGAATTCTCAGCTAAGGCTGTGTTTTCTGACATTCTACAGTCCTTTTGCGCAGTGATTTCCCATTGAAAGGGCAGGGTGCAAAGGGCTCTCCAGGTCATTCCAATTACAATGTGCCCTGAAAAAGGAGGAGGGTGCAAAGGAAGGGAAAGAGACGGCTCATTAGTGGAACGTGCACACCAGGAGGAGCATCTGTTTTCTATTTTCTTCTCTAGATTGAACTCTTGGATGGAAAAATTTTTTACTGTCATCACCGTCATCATCATCATCATTTTATTACCTGTGTGGTGTAATTTTCCTACACATTTCTCTCAAGTGTTAAGTGAAATTGTTGATGAGAAAAGTAAAAATACAAAATAGTGTCCGGGTATTTTAAAATTAATGTTTACTCATGTTTAAAAAGCAAAATCAATCATTTCTAATTCTGTAGGGCAAAGACAAAAATTAAAAGGAAAAAAAACAACCAAGCGGTTTCTTGCTTCTGGTGGTCTACTTGCAATTAACTATGCACAGCACTTCTCTTTATGGAAGTTAATTTCTCCTTCCTAGTTATTCAAAAGGCAGACATCGGTAGTCCGGAGCTCTGGTTTGATAAGGCTCCACCACTGTTTGCCCAGGGTCCATGTTTTCTGCAACTGTGACATTGTTTAAGTGTTTCCTCGGGTCTCAGATTCTGTGGAGCTGGAGATGAGGGAGGTAAAGCTGTAGTTTAAAGGAAGTAGCTCCGGAGAGCAAGGGGCTCCGGTGGGTTTTTAAGTGGGGAACAGTGGAAGTCCTAAGTGGGGAACTGCTGTGTGCATGGGGGGTCTCTGGAGCCAGAGGGTCTGGTGAGCATGGGGGTGGGAAAGAGGTCCAAGTCTCGAGTCTATGTTGTCTTCAGTTTCCGCATCCTCACAACTTCTCTAGGTCCCCCCCCCCCCCGCCTCCCCGCCGCCACGGCACCATCCAGGCCCCAATTCTCAGACCTTCTCTCCCTTCCCCTCCCCCGCCTGCAACCACCCCCTCTCCCCCGCAACTCCCTTCCGGGGAAGAGGGGTAGGCATAGGAGAGCTAGGACTGCCTCGGGGGAGGAGCTGCCTCTCCGGCCCGAAGGTGGGAGAGTAAAGAGCAGCGGAACCCGGGCTCAGACCGCCCGTCGGGGCTCCTCCCGCCAGTAGTGGTTGCTGCGGTAGCGGCAGCTCACACCAAAATTTGGATGTTTGCTCAATCGGCTGGATTTGCAAACTCTTACCGCACCCTCCCTCCCCTTTTAAGTCGCCCTTCTGGTTACCTCTTATTCCCACCCCACCCCCACTTTGGGGAGTTTCAGGCTTCTTTTAGCACCTTTTTGCAATCCTGGGAACTTGACATCCAAGAGCTGTAACTATCGCAGCTGAATTCTACTTTTGTTTTTATTTCTCCCTCTTTTCCTTGCATCTGATTCATCTGTGAAGTCTGATGCTTCTGCCAGGGGGAGAGGAATAAATTGATGCTGCTGCCCCAGAAGGCTTAGACGTCGGGAAAGAGCGGCCAGAGCTGCAGTAGCGACAGGGGCGGTGGCGGCTGGAGCTCGGCGAAGCTCGTGGGACCCCATTGGGGGAATTTGATCCAAGGAAGCTGTGAGATGGCCGGGGGGAGGAGAAGCTCCCAGATCATTGTGTCCACTTCCAGGGGGGAGGAGGAGACGGCGGAGCGGGCCTCTCGGCGTCCTCGGCACGGCTGCACCCTGCTCTGTCCTGCGGGGATTATGGTCTGCGGCAGCCCGGGAGTGATGCTGCTGCTGCGGGCCGGGCTGCTCGCCCTGGCCGCGCTCGGCCTGCTCAGCGTGCCCGGAGCTCGGGCTGCAGCCTGTGAGCCTGTGCGGATCCCCTTGTGCAAGTCCCTGCCCTGGAACATGACCAAGATGCCCAACCACCTGCACCACAGCACCCAGGCCAACGCCATCCTGGCCATCGAGCAGTTCGAAGGACTGCTGGGCACCCACTGCAGCCCTGATTTGCTATTCTTCCTCTGTGCCATGTATGCACCCATCTGCACCATTGACTTCCAGCACGAGCCCATCAAGCCCTGCAAGTCCGTGTGCGAGCGGGCCCGACAAGGCTGCGAGCCCATCCTCATCAAGTACCGCCACTCGTGGCCGGAGAGCCTGGCCTGCGAGGAGCTGCCGGTTTATGACCGCGGGGTGTGCATCTCTCCCGAGGCCATTGTCACCGCAGACGGAGCGGGTGAGTCCCTGGCACTGCTCAGCCTCTGCCCCAGCGCTGCAGCTCTCTCGCTTCAGGAGTCCTTATTGTTGCCTTACTCTCTAATTCTGCGAGTTTTTTTTTCCCCCTTGGGGGGGGGGTTGGGGAGGGGGCAAGGGGACTTCTCTCAAGCTATCTCTTAATTATTTGTCTGTCAAGTACCATTCTTGATTTTCCTTTCAGCTTACCACCCTCCCAAAGTCATGCACTTTATTCCAATAGGTGATCTGCCTTTCTATAACGTATTGTTTGTTCCCTGCCCGTCACACTTCTACTCAACGCTGACCCTTAGCCTTCTGCTTTACATGGTGAAGTAATCACATCTTCTATAGTGATGCTCTTTTCTTTCTTAATTTGTTTACAAGCACTGAGCTTTCTTGCCTGATTCTCTTGTATTCTTGGCCAGCATCTCCTGTATCTTTAGTAATTTAGCTGCTTGTAAAGATTGTAGGGAGAAAACAGTAAGTGAGGCCTTATTTTCTTCTAGTCATTAAAATTACCAAGATAATTTCAGTAACCTTATTCCAACCCACAGATGCTAGTGGTATGTTTGCTCAAAACCCAATTTGAGCAATTACCTTCACCTTAAATTTCCCCCTCCTTTCAATGAGATAAATTGTTCTTCCATTCCACACTGAAACAGCTGTGAAACATTGCTATGCACTGCTAATTAGCTCCTGTGACTTGCTTCAGCCACAGAGCTGGCAGAGAGAAATTGCTAGGCTCTTTTCACATTCCCACATGCCTTCAAGTCATTTTGCAAATGACATATGGATGAAAGGAGTTATATTTAAGGCATGTTATCATCATGCACTCATTTAATGTTATTTTTGATCTCACCCCTTGTCCCAGTATTATGCTCTGCAAATAATTTCTTTCGTACCTTATTTTATACTCTTTGTATATACATCAACCACACATTCAGTTCAGTTTTTCCCTACCATAAAACTTTATTGCAGTGCTACATTTAATGCAATCAATCACAAGTTGTTTTCTCATTAGTGTGGGGTTAAAGATCTCCAGATAAACCTAGTTCATAATGATCTGCTTAATTCTAACTCTGTCACTTCTACCAATTAACCCAGTGCTTGAATTTCACCCATATCTATGCTTTAAAAATAAATCCTTTATTTTTTTTAACAAATGATCCTCTCCCATACCCTCCCCATATCAAACCTGTTCTTATTCCTAGATGCATTGCCTTGATTGCTTCCACCTTTCTTCACTTCTTGGGGATCAGCTTTTCTTCTCTCTGAATTTATTCTGCCTAAACTCGTGTCCTTAGTTCACTTCCAGGGAATAGTTCTTGTTTTGTCAGGGAATTGATTTGGAAAAATTGTTTTCTGTGTTCACTGATTCCCTTAATAGAAACTGAGTGAAAAAGGCAAAGGTCTTGTCCAAATAGCTGAAAAACTAAAACTAAACCAAGAGATTTCATAAAAATTTCAATGATCACTTCGAGTAGTGCATAGTGATCCTTAAGCTATTATTAGCATCTTCTTGATTTTAATAAAGAACCAATAACTGGCTATGTAAAATAATTGGAAAGGAACACATTTTTTATTAGTCTTTGGACTTCTTAAATGTTTGTTCTCACAAACTGCAGATTTTAGAAGCATCACTCATTTGCCCCTCAGGTCTGTCAGGCTGTGAGAGGCAGTGAAATCGTGGTACTCCTCTATTGCTAGAGGGCTGGAAACAAGGGGGCTGTGGTTCTTGCTGAAATGTATTTTTCTCCTTAAAGGAGATACGCTTTTAAATCCTTCAGAGAGGGCCCTCCCTGGTGGCTCAGCAGGTTAAAGCACAGCACTAAGAAGCTCAAGCCACTTCCGCATGAGTTCGATCCCAGCCTGCCCGGGAGGTGATCCACATGGCCAGGCAGATCTTTCCTGACCCGCCCTCTGCTCCCCTCATCAGTGTACTTTGATCATCTGCCTGTTCTGCTCCCCACTCTGTCTCTGGTAAACCCTCTCACCCTCCGCATCTCCAGTCTGTATCCCAGTTCTGTATAAATAAATAAATAAATCCTTCAGAGATGGACCTTAGATGAGTGGGGTTTGGCAAGGTGAATGGCTCACAAAGCCACACAGTCAGCATGGATGGCAAGCAGTCTCCCCGAGTGTCATTACTGATCAAATGTAGAACAATTGCTTCATTGAAGCACACAGATAGGATATGCATGGAAACAATTTGTCAGTCCGCGGGACCTGATTTCTGAGCTGCACTGAAATGTTATATCTGCCTTGCTGAAAGCATTCTTGCTAGAAAAGTAAGTAGGGACTAAGTGGCAGTTGGAACCATATTTCCATGGTTGTCTCCCTTGCCCCCTCCCCCCCTTACCGTAACCTTCACTGTGAGTCTGAGACTGGGGTGGCAGGTGAGAGATGAAGGGAAAGTGGGAACAGGCAATGGGGTGGGGTGGGGGATTTTAGCCTGAAGGGTCCTTAGGCTTCCAGGGCCAGCTAGCCCTGGAATTGCATTCAGTATCCTCAGCCAAACTGTCAGGCACCTGGAATTACTTAGGAACTACCACATGTGGTCAGTTCAGTTTACAATGCAATATACTCCATGGTTCAGTAGTTCATGAAACAGGGTTTAATCCTTCTTCCAAGTAGAAACAGAATCCCTATATCTTGTGACTACAGTCTATCCCGTCAACTAATAAAATGAGGTATCCTCGAATAAAATGGGACTATCTTTGACATTCCCTCACAGTTAAGAGGGTTTTCAAATCCTACTATTTACACAGATTTGTTCCCTCAGAGCAGTGTGATGCCACAAACAAGCTAGGACGCCTTACAAAGCAAAATCTTATTGAAATGGAGCATTGCTTCACAAACTAAGGACAAATTTACATTTATAAGGCAAAGATCATATTCTGAACATCACTAAAATATTCACATTGAATGCATTCTTTTTCCACATCTTATAATTACTATAGAGTTATGGTTTCATGTATTACTATTTTATTTTCTTTCTTGAGAATTCAGAACAATTTAGTTATTCAGCCAGCTAATCAAGATGTTTATTCAAAGCTTTAATATTGTATTGTGACTACAAAGAGTATGTGTTTAGAGTTGGGCAGACGAGGTGCTAAATCTTGACTCTGCCTCATGTCAACTTTATAGGAAAATTATGTAACCACTCTGATTCATAAATTTTCTGATCTGTAATATGGGAACAAGATAGTCTGCATTGTACTGGCATGGTAAAGATGAAATTAAACTACAATTCTGGTACCTGATACATAGTAAGTACTTAGCAAATTGTGGCTGCTGTTGCTGTGTTACAATTTTTATCATTGTTATATCAAATTTGAAGGTTTCCTTTTTTGAATTTGTAGGCCTATGCAAATGAAGTCTAGAACTTTTATCAGTTCTGGTCTATGGAACAAGCTTCACACTGAGAACTGGGAAGGCAGATCCTCGTTTTCTGAAATTGATAGTTAATACTGCATTTTATACAAAATGACTTGAATCCTAGACTCAAGAACAAATTCTGTTGAGAATCTCAGGAAGAAAGTACCTAATGGATGTCTGATAGTTACAAGTAGTGTATCTCAGAAATGTAGAAAATTGTAAAAAATGTTCTATTTAACAGCAGTTGATACAACCTCTATGGTTTGCCCTGCCAAAGCCTTATAATCACTCCTCAGTCACTCTTGGTTTCCGTGGTGGTGGTAACTTGTCACCCCAGCTCTTGCCCAACACATTTCTCCAGCCCCTCTCTGGCCTGGCAGAGCTGTGCCAACTTTTCCATGCATGAACTGCTGTTTAATCATTTCTCCACTCTCTGAGGAACAGGCAGCCTTTTCTTTAGCACTGGTCCACAAATATTTGAGGGGCCAAATGCGAAGAAGGAAGAATTATTTAGTGTGATATGAAGAGGAAAATGGAATGGAAAGGAGAAATGGAAATTTTAGATTAATACAAGAGAGAAAACATGATTCTAAGGATTCATCATGTAAAATAATGAAGTTTTCTGGATGGAGTAGAGTAGTTGAGTGTTATGGTGTTTAATTTTATTTACATCTGACCCTATTGGTGGTAGACTATTATGTAGTTCCCAAATAGTATTTTAATATATCATTTTGTGTATGTTCCCTCACAGATATCCAAATAGAAAATTATCTACTTTATATTCAATCTTTCTCTTTTTATTGGGGCTAATGAAAGAGACCACTACTTAACCAAATAACTAAAAAATTTTAAAAAATGATACACAGTTGATATAACTAATAGCTTTAGATATGTAACTTAATGATTGGATATTTGCATATTTTGCAAAATGATAGTAAGTCTAATTAACATTAATCTTATCATATCCAATCTATAGTTTAAATAATTAAAAATTGACTTTATTTTCTCAATTTAGAGAAAGTGATAGTTCTAGAGTTATCAGATCTTAGTTGGAACTCTGAAGTTGCCATTAATGCTCTATCTTGAGTTAGTCTTTTGCCACTGGGGATTGTGAGTAACAAAAGTGCTATTTATATGAGGTAAATGGAAAAACACAATATAAGTGTTTAAGAACAATATGACCAGGAGAGGACAGCCTCAAGATGGGGAATCATTAACAACAACAGAAAAAAATAGCATTCTACGTGTTCTAGATCCTGTTCAAAATGTGTTCTGTTTGTTAATTTATTTAATCTTCATAATAACTAAGTGGTGAGACTATTATTCCTACTTTTGCAGAAGTGGAAGCATATAGAAATTAATTGTCCAAGTTCATAAAATTCTTAAGAGAAAGAAGATTTCATACCAGATCCGTTCTGTACTATATTACTTCACTCATGAAAACTCCTTTGTGGAGAGTCTGTGTCTATTGATTATCACATTGCATTTTAATTGTACTTTGTAAATCTGTTTATATTCAGCTTAAGAACCTAAAAGACTGCCTTGGACAATGGATTCCAAGATAGAAGATAGTATGTTTGCTGCACTTTTGCCATAACAAAGACTATACATTCCAGATTCTCACATCTAACACAGAACATAAAGGATTAATAAACTATAATCACTTGTGTGAAAGTACTGATTTTGCATGTTGATGAGAACGTGTAGTGGAACAGCATTTGCCAGCATGGTGCTTTGCCAAGCAACACTGAAGAACTCAGTTTTACTCATTTGAGGTACTATCATAACTAGAACACAGAACTTTTATAATTACCATTTTAATTATCATTGTCTAGGATTATAGAATCATGAAAAAAGTTAATGGCTGTGGGTTCCTATGCACTGGCCACTTGTGGCCAACTGTGATGTATTGCTATGCACAAATCACAGCAGAACATTCTTTGACTCCCTATGGTGCAGCTTGTCTCAAGAGGCAGGCCTCTCGACGCTTAGACCATTGTGACCTGATTACATGACTTTCTCCATGGTGGTCTTGGGATAACTCTGCTGTGATAACATCATACTTTGCTGTGATAGCATCATCTCTTGACACATGGTCATGATGTCCCCTTCCCTGCTCCTTATAAAGCTTTGTCCCCCATTCCTGTCCCACTCTCAAGACCTTATTCCTCATACCACAGTCGCATGATCAGCTTTTACTAGCCTGTATATTTTCAATAACTGGCACAAGAACTTCTGCTCAAGCAGCAGAGTCTTGCCTTGCAAACCTGCTCCAGGACTACTGTGGCCCTCATTGTTGGGGTCCTGCTGCACACCAGTAACAAAGTTACTGTTGCAGCTAAAGGCCCTGTCTAATCATTGCCACATCTATTACTTGCACTAGCTTGAGTAAGCCCTGGATAATGTATTGTTAACTATAGTTACACCCCCATTTTGTAAATGGAAATTTGTATCTTTTGATGTTCTTTACTGTTTTGTTACCCCCACTTCTGACAGTAAGTTCTCTATTTATGAAGAGGTGTGTGTGTTTGTGTTTAGATGCCATCTAACTAGTAGGCTTTGAAGTATTTGTCAGACTTATTTCATTTAGTGTAAATATCCTTATTTGTTTTCACAAATGGTAATGGTGAGATTTTCTTTTTCAATGACTGAGTAATAATCTAGTGTATGTGTATATATACTAGATTTTATTTATCTACAGATGAGCATTTGTTTCTTGGCTACTGTAAGTAATGCTCTAGTGAACATGGGTATGCATATGTCTTTTTCAGTTGGTGTTTTGTTTTCTTAAATACCTGCAAGTGGAATTTCTGTTACATGGCTATTCTGTTTTTAATGTTTGAGCAATCTTCATGTTTTCCATAGTGACTAACCCCATTTATATTCCTACTGACAATGCACAGGGCTTTTTTCCAGATCTGGCCAACACTGTTATTTCTAGTCTTTTTGGTACTAGCTAGCCATCCTAACAGGTGTGAACCACACTCACCATTGTTATAGTTTGCCTTTGTCTCATAATTGATGATGTTTAGCACCATTTCATACACCTGTTGTCATTTGTATGTCTTCTGAGAACTTTCCTAATGTTCTCATTAGTCCTAAGGATTTGAGTGCATGCCAGCAAAGTGTGGTACATTTGTTCTGTGAAGTGATGGTGAAGCACAATATAAGAGCTTAATTAACCACAGAAACACCATGACTAGGGGAGGTGTGTTTGGTTCTTTTGGTTCAAGTATCAAAAGACCAGTGTTGGGGTGAGTGCCTAATGGTAGGACACTTACAATTTGTAAATTTCATGAAACTTAAAAAAAAAAAAACTTTCTTAAAGCTTGACATTTCTTGCAGTTGATGAGGATTCAAAAGGGTGGATCATCTTTTATTTGCATGAAAGAATAGGTCTTGTCCTTATTTGACCTACAAACTGTTGAGTGCCAACCTCAAAACATCAGTAAGAATCCTCTTTCTTGAGGCACCTGGGTTCTAACCCAAATCAAACATGTGTCTGATTTAGATTTTTTAAATGGCAATTCTTGAAATAATAGTGAGTATGTTATGATTCTTTCTTCATTGTATCACCTTTCAGATTTTCCTATGGATTCTAGTAATGGAAACTGTAGAGGGGCAAGCAGTGGTGAGTATATTACTATCTTTCTGGTTTTTGCATATAGTAAAATTGAACTTTTCTCTCTATTAAACGTTTTATAGCTCTTACTGCATGCAAGACTTGTATAAACACTACCACAATCACTGTACAGAACCGTTTCATAACCTCAGACCTCCCTGTTCTCTGAGTTTCTCTCCCCTCCTTGCCCACTGGCAATCACTGATCTGTTGTCCATTACTAGTTTTATCTTTTTGAGATTGTCATTATTTACTTATATTTTAAAACATTTATTTATGCATAGATGAACTGGGGTGTAGGCCACAGTTGGGGATTGAGAAGATTCACCAAAGACAGAGTGGGAAGTAGAACACGCAGATCTACTGAAATACATTGCTGAGGAGAAGAGTAGGAGAGACAGGTGAGGTCTGCTGTGGCCTATGAATCAACTGAGGCCTCTGGGGTGATAGCCCTGAGACTTAACCCAAAGGGCACCAGAAGGCCTTTAGATTGTCATTTGAATTGATTGAAAGAGTGTGTTATCTGAGGTTGATTTCTTTTGCTCATCATAATGCCTTTGAAATTCATCCAAATGGTTGCCTGCATTCCTAGTCCTTTTAATTGCTGAATATTTTATTTCTTGGGTATATTACCATTTGTTTATCCATTTACATCTTTAAGGATATTTAGTCCGTTTCCAGTTTTTGTCAATCTTAGTAGAACAACTGTAAATATTCCTGTGCAGGTTTTTGTTAGAACATAAGTTTTTACTTTTCAAAGGTAAATATCTAGAAATAAGAAAACTAGGTTATTTGGTAAGGGTATATTTTATAATTGCCAAACTGTTTCCAAAATGACCAGTTTTGTACTAGCAATGTGTAAGTTGTTTCAGTCTTTCAGGTTCTTGGTAATGTCAGTTTTACTGTTTTCTAAACTTTAACCGTTTTCATAGGTATGCTCATCAGTGTTTTAATTTGTGTTTCCCTAGTGCTTAAAGATGTTGAATATCTTTCATGGGTTTATTTTCCATTCGTATCTATCTTTTTGGTGAACTGTTGTTCCAAGTTTTTTGCCATCTTCAAATTAGGTTGTTTTCTTTCTTTCTATTGAGAACTCTTCATGTGTTTTGGATATAAGGAATCACCTTTTTATTGATTTTTTTTTCATTTTTATTTCTGCTCTTTTGTATTTCTTTTCTAGCTTTGAATTTATCTAGCTGCCTTTTTTTGGGGGGTTCTAAGATATAAGTTTAGATTATTAGTTGAGACTTTCTTTTCATATATAATAGTATAGTGATGTAGGTATTTATCTAAGAATGGCTTTAATTGCATCGCACAAATTTTGGCAGGTTTTAATTTTTCTTCAGTTTGAAATATTTTATACTTTCCCTTTACAGTACTCTGAATTGGGAGTTATTTAGAATGGTGTCATCAAATTGCTGCTGCTGGAGATTTTTCTCTGTTTGAGCTTTTTTTTAATTCTAATTCTCTTATGGTCAGAACATATTTTGATTGATTTCAATTATTTTACACTTGCTAAGGTTTATTCTATGACCTAGGATGTGATCTAGCTTGGTGAATGCTACAAATGAGCTTGGGGGAAATGTCTTCAGTGGAATGTTTTTTTAAACATCAGTTAGATTAGTTGAGGTGTGGTTTGGTGCTTTTATATTCCTGCACATTTTCAGGAATATAAAAATGTGCAGCTCATTGAGCAAATAAGAGGAGTGTTTAACTCTCCAAATATTGTGGATTTTTTTCTCAGCTCTGCCTTATTTCTTGTATTCTGAAACTATTTGGCGCATACAAATTTTGTATATTTATATCTTACTAGTGAACTGACACTTTCCATAATGTCTCATTTTCTCTATTTTTCCCCTCTAAAATGTATTTTGGTAGATATTAATATAATCACTTTAGTGTTTGCAAGATACATGTGTGTGTGTGTGTGTGTGTATACACACACACATATATATTACTTTTAAAATACCTGTATAACTATGTCTTAAATAAATTTCTTATAGGCATCATATAATTGAGTATTCTTTTGTTTGTTTTTTTGCTGGTGTTGATTTTTTCACCGACTCCACCAGTCATTGTCTTTTGATTGTTTTCTTAGACCCTCTGTATCTAATGTAATTATATACACATTTCTATTTAGATTTATTATTTTGTTATATATTTTGTTTTCTTCCTCCTCATTTTCCTTCCCAGTTTCTATTTCTTGCTCTTCTGTTTACTTGAATCTCCCTCCCCCCGTCCTTCTTTATCTCTCATACATATACACACACACAATTTGTCTTTGTTTCAATCTATCATCTATCCATCCATCCATTTCTATCAAATCTATGTATACCTGCTTACTTCATAATGTTATGTTTTTTCTCACCTACTAAAACTTCTTTTAGGCATTAAATATGTTAATTTAATTCTTGAATAACCCCTTTTATTTACACTGATATTTATAATTTCTATCCTGCCTTCTGGTATCATTTCCTTGTATCTGTATTGTCTACTTCTGAGTTATGATGATATGAATGTTGCATATTTTGGTTTTATTCCATATGCCTTTGACTGTCTCCCCCTCCCCATCTTTTTTCTTTCTGTTACTTAGATTTGATACTCCTATTGCTCTGTCTTCTGCTATTAAATTTATTGAATAAATTTTGTGCTGTAGTTATTAAAATTTCTAAATTTATAATTTCTACTTTGTTTATATAATGATAGAATTTTTGTTGAGATTTTCTATTCACTTCAACAGTGTTCACCATTACTTTTTGAAGAGTTTTTATAAATGCTGCCTTAAAGTCATCATTGGATGGTTTCAGCATCTGACTTTTCTCCCTAATGACTGAGATTTTCCTGGTTGCTGATATGCAGAGTAAATTTTTATTGTACATGTGCACTTTGAATATTATGCTAGGGTCACTTAACACTCCATTAGTGTTTCAGACTTCTGAGAGCCTCTCTTGCTGCTTCTGTTGTTGCTACCACTGCCTCAGTATCACTTGAGGGATGGAATACAAGAAAATGCAGTATTAGGGGTCCCTTCTCCCACTGCTTGAGCCAGAACTAGAGGGCTTCTCCCACAGCATTATCTACACAATGCCTATTCCCAGTCTTGAAACAAGACTTAGGCATACCAGAAAGAGAAAAGTGATGAACTCATTACCAGTTTGATGGTGTGGTCTTCTTTCTCCATCTTCTGCTGCTCTTCTGCTATACTTTTCGGCATTCTTATGTAGCTGCTGCATGCATTTGTATTCAGGTTGTGTAACTGTGTCAGTTACTCCATCTTACCATAAAATAAATTCTGAATTGAAACATGACATGTGTGCATAAAAGATTACAAATTTTAAGCATACAACTGCATTTTCATAAAATAAACCTTTTCATATAACTACCACACAGATCAAGATAACACATCACTAGCACTCCAGAAACCTCCCTGTGTCTCTTCCAAATCACTACAACCTTTTCCCCCACGTTAACCACAGCAGGAATACTAATAGCAGAGATTAATTTTTCCTGAGTTTGAAATTCTATGAATGAAATCCTAGGATAAATATACATATGTGTATGTATATATGTATATTTAATGTGCACATGTGGCTTCCTTTGTTTTTTACTATGTTATGTAAAATAATACTTCAAAATTTTCATTGCTAGGTAATATTCCACCACATCCAAGTATACCACATTTCATTAAGTCCAGGTATCCTAGATATTTGGGTTGTTCCTAGTATTTATTACAACAAAAGCTATACTTCTTTCTATAAGGAAAATATACCTACAAATAGTTACTATATGCATCTTCTTTTCTTAACTGTTCTTTAGTAATCTGCACTGTTTGGGTCTTTGTGTCCTTCCTGCTTAGTAAGTTATATTATGTGTGAATCTGGAACACTGATAGAGAGCCTACTTATCAGGAGGTAGTTCAAGGCTTCCCAGTGCCTGAAACCACAGATAGGATTCAGTACTATTTTCTGTTTTTCTATGCATACATGGGGATGATAGTTTTATTTCTACATAAGGCACAATGAGAGATTAGCAACAATACCTAATAACAATACCTATACAGCAGTTGTAACAACATAATATAATAAAAGTTATATGAATTGTATTCTTACAATATCTTGTACATAATACTTTGGATGGTGATCCACTGCCACTAACCTAAAACCAGGAAACGCAAAATCACATTTGTGGGGTGGGGGGGTGGGGAGCATGGCTTTAAACTGTACTTTATTAAGTTGTAAATAAGTCTGAAACATCCATTTCATTAGATTGGAACAGATTTCACCATTGATTTCCAGCAACTCTTACAGGGTGACAAGTATTTAACCTGAGGCCATGTCTGCCAAAGGCAACCCAGCAAATATTTATCTTTTAAAAAACATAAACAAATTAAAATGATTTATTTAGAATTATTTTGTCACCTTCCTAATGTAATTGACAATGCTATTATAGTGTCATTAAATCAGTGGAGCTTAGTAATGGCACCATTTTAAGGATCACTCCTACTTAGGTTTGGTCCAAACCCAAATCCTGTGTCTAATAGTAAAATTGGTGAGTCAAAATTTGTGGCCAGGCATATACATGTGCTATCAATTTGTCCAGAAGTCATGGTTAGAATAATATCGCACTTCAAGGTGTGTGTGAGAGAAGAGATCAACAACACTATAAATAATATATAAAAATAGCTCAACACGTACAGCTGAATGAGTGCAGTGTTCCTGGCTTCAGTGTTTACTGTTCCTCTCTTATAAATGTCTTCCTGTTCCTTGGTATAATGGGAGTGATGAAAACAAACTAACAAACAGGCAAATCCAAATTTGCTCTGCTGGTGAAAAAACACATGGATATATTCACATCTATTGAAAAATTTTTAATTTGTTCACACTCAAAATTTTATACCTTGGAGTTATGTAACTAACAGCTGAGGTTGATTATGATAAGACAGGAAATGAAGAAGACACAAAAACATTGTAAGTCACATAACTTCTCTTTCAAAAGTGTCAAGCTGTTTCT